ATTTTGATGGGTTCTTTGCATGCCAATCCGATACATACTCCGATACTCCCGTGAGTCGGACTGTGACTGACGATAAGAACAGTATAACAGGTCCGATCGAAACATCCCCAATTCCATGAGATTAGGGCCTATCCGACTGGATGAAGCAAATTACAGGTTTTTGGATGAAATTTTTCGCAGTTCTCGGGGCTGTGGTGTGCGAACCGGATAATAACGAAGCAATTAATTCGTCTGCCGGTCAACAAACGAATCTGGAACACTAACTGAAAGCAGTCTGTCNGTCTGTCCGAACCGGGAACTTGAAAAATCCCGAAAGAAATGAGACAGTTCATTCGTGTGTCCATAAATTGGAGCATTGGGTAGCACGGGAATGAATGCTTAGAGATATGGGAAACGTGAAAGATAGATCGGTAGATTGTATTAGGCAGTGATCGTCAAGCGTCTCGATCTCCATTTATCTCTGCGGACAAACAAAAACAAAAGACAGGGAATTTAGAAGACTGCTACTACCAACAAACTATTCTCTCGGAATTATCGACTAATTCTTGGCCATGCGATGTAGATGCTCAAGTTTTGTTTTCATCAATCAAGTAAGCAGCTCGTGCTTCTCTTGTCCCCAGGAAACTTTTCAGTTGAAGATTCGTTACACGGTCAAATAGTGTCATTTATAGTTCCGGGCACAAAATTATCACATGATGTAGTCGCATCCCGCTGCTTCGTACGCCTTTACTAGTGTTAAAATGAGCGACTTTTTTATTACACACTTTTGTGTGATGAACAGCAGACAGGGTAAACCCCATAGTCACGAGGACCTGTTGTTCACTGATGGAAACGGGCAGCCTAAGCCCCGGGACTTGAAGTGGTGAATCACAGAAGGCCCGATAGGTTAGGTGTGTTACTGAACCGGACCATCAAAGTTGGGTGGCGGTGGCGGGGCTCGAACCTCGGACCATAGGGTTCAAAGCACGCCTGTGACAGTGACTTGTAGTGTTATCAAGTACCCCGTTACAAGACTGAGTGATTAGTTCCAAATGGTTCACATTCTGACGGCAAAAGATTACGCCCAGCGTGTCAGTTGACACTTTTGAATCACTAACTTGAATGAGTATTATACCACGAGGTAGTGGAAATAAGGCAACAGTTTTGACAGTGGATGACATGGGTTCTGCAGTGTTTGATACGAAAAATCATTATCCTCGAATTTGGCGGTATTGAATGGGGTAAACATCCTAATGATTGTAATAACTCTACCAAACAGAGTGAGCGATCGCTAGATCTTCTGGAACGTTTCAAATCTGTTTCCAAATTCATCGACCTTATTCTTCAAGATATGCATTAGGTTGTTTCACAATTTTTCAAACCTGGCAAATCCAAATTTCCTCGTAGTAAGTTAACCACGAATATAGTTGAGGTGTACGCCTAAAATTGGCTGTCTTTGGCCGCTGACGCCGTGCACCCGTACCCGCTACCCACCTCCGCTTTGTGTAAGCTAAGAACAAGTGCTAGCTAGCTTACTAGCGGATAAATTCGGTAATGGTTCGTTCTCTGAGCATGACTNCTGGAATTTTAGCGATCAGAGAAGATCGAGATCCAAATCCCGACCGCATAGCACACTCCATCTGAGTGCTCTCGTAAGAGGAAAATTAGATGCAATTCGGAACAACCTCATATGCCCGGCGATTCTGAAAAAACAGCAAACCAACGAGTGTGGTGAAAACAGAAAAGGAGGAAACACTTTCTGTTACTATCCACCCCCCCCCCCACCACCACCACCCTCCTCTTTCTCGCTCTCCCTACGAAGAGTACTCCGGCCACCGCCGCTACGAACAACAACAAAAACAAAAACAACAAAAATCAAAAAAGACACGGGTGAGTGAAACTTACCGGGTGCCCCACTGGAGCTTTTCATCGGATTGTCAGCCGAGTCGAGCAGCTGGTCCAGAATACACTGAGCCGCCGGTAATATCTGTCAACAAGGAGCAGATACACCAATTCCGTGATGAATGACAATGGTTTCGCAGCAAATTTAATGATGACCGTTCAAGAGAACAGTGAAGACAGATAGCAAGCTAGTATGGCTGAATCGATTTGTCACATTGCCTAATGCACACCGGGACTGTGCAATAAACACATTCAAAAGTTTAACATTAAATTTATAGCGGGATACAATAAATTGAAAACGTTATAAATCAGATAGCCCGATCCTCCCGCTTAGTAACGAACGCATAAGATCACATTAGTCATACAATGCGCGACAAGTGTTGGATCCCCCCCTCCTTCATTTACCTGAATATTTCTCCTCCGGTGTTCACAGTAATAAGGTATATATATATATATATATATATATATATATATATATAGCCTACGAAATTTCAGAAACTAGGTGTGTTAACTGAAGCGGAAAGTACACATAAACGGATGACAACGGGATTAGGCTTGATCTCAACAATCAGCACTTAAAATCAAATGCCACTACCATTCTGCCTGATGATCTACATAAATCGTCTAGCGTGCTCATCACAAGACCTGTGATTATCCGTTGGCTCACATTCGTCCATTGTCCGTTTCAAGGGAGGCTATGGATTCAAGCTGACTGATGAACTGTTTCCGAGTTGATCACAGCATAACCCTGATCCCCGGGGGAAAGTAGTCGTGGTGTACGAGCAGCGCATATTAGTATAATCGTATTGGAATAAGGAGTTATTTCATAATGCGCTGATCAGTGGTGAGAGCAAAATCCGTTCCAATCTATGAATCAGTAAAACAATATCCTTGCATACGCTCAAGTGTGACCAGTTCGATTCGGCCATTGTTTCAAAAGTCTCCTCAAACCATAACTGAGCTCCTAATCTTGTTCTTTTGACTNTATAATAACTCCGAGTATCCAGTCGTTCCAGACTATGTTATGTTCAAAAATGGGCGTTTGCTGACTTGCTTGCATATGCTACTCATCGGTTCAACCCGTGGTAAACGTTGTGTTCACATGCAGCGGTAAAGAAGCAAGACACCGTATTATTTTATGCGTGCGTTTTAGCTATAGCCCACACAGTTTTGAGCGTTCTTCGTGACGTGTATTTTGAAACCTGGACTCAAATAAACCTTTTCAACATCTACAGGAAACGTGTGCTATTGGGGACTAAACGAATCAGTCAGTCTATGTGCAGCAGATTTCGTTGGCTTTTTCCAGAGACGCGCCCATTAGTCGGTATATTTCAGATACCATCGTGTGACGTTTCTCTAGCTCTGGGGCACAGTTCGACAATTTCAGTAGAACGGAATTCGATTTTGTGAAATGCGAATATTTCACTTTGTTTGAAACTTCATTTCGTGCGGCACTGTGCAGACCAAAATTCGGTGTGTGTGTGTGTGTGTGCTCTGTAAAGTGCAATCAACGGGGACAGAAATCACTAGGAGAGGCTCAACAACAACAACATATGTGGTGAATCATGAGCATCCGGTTCCCGAGAGCTGGTCACTTGGTACGTGCAATGTCAGTTCAGCAAAAACTTTGAGAAAGATCGCGTGAAAAGTGGGGGGAGGGGGCTACAATAAACCGTGAAATGGAAGTAGCTTGTGCATCAGAGAATAGACAAAGACTGTTTCAGTGGATACACAGCACCGAAGGTCATCGCACACTGATCAGTGAAATCATTTACGATAAAAGTAAACAGTAAAGGAGAAACGACTTGATCGCCGGGCAGCGTATTTTAGCAAACAGCTCAATGACCCGGTGTTAGTGCGCTTATTCCGGTGACTCCAACGGAAACTCTTTGGACGGTAACAGTTGAGCCTCTAGCAGAAATAAAAGTACAACGCTGAACTCAATCGCTAAATAAGGGGAAGGAAAAGAGAACGACGATGGGTTTATTCTCATTCTTTTCAAGTTGGGGCTGACTCGCTCGTCGACTCGATCACTAGTTTACTTCGCAACATATGGTCGGAGGAGCGTAGCCCCTTAGCTTGGAGTGAAGCATTGATCATTCCGATCGTTAAGAAGGGAACGTGTAACGACTGCGCAAACCACCGCGGAATTAGTTTGGTTCCGTTCATCGCTAAAGCATTAACTTCTGTGATACTTCGCCACCTGGCACCCTTAAGGGAGATGAATACTCGTAAACAGCAAGCGGGAATGGGTAATGATTGCGTCGACCAAATCTTTACTCTGAGTCCGGTTCTCGAATTAAGTCACACACCTACTTCTGGTAGCGTAAGAGTTTACGGTACGCTAAGCAAATCATTAGAAACCAGAAGCGGTTTTCGTCAAGGGTGCTCTATTTCGTCATAGACGGTATACTGCAAAATGCACTAAGTGGTCTCAAAAACGTTGCCATCAACTGCACAGCTGAGGAAAAGCTGTGCAATTCAGAGCACGCTGACGACATAGTTTGTATGTGCGAATAAATGGAGGATGTGCAAAGCACTCTTGACAGACTCTCGAGTTCCACTTGGAATGCGTTTTGCACCTTCGAAGTGCAAAGTAATGATAAAAGGTTGGATGTTGTCTACTCCGACTGAGGTCTGATAGTCAAGAATTAGCTACAGTGGAATGTTTCTCCCTACTTAGGTAGTTGCGTGATAAACGACGGCAGCATAGTCAAGGAAGTAACTGTCGGCATCTTCAAGGCACGAGCAGCAAACGAAGGACTGAAACATTTTTGGTGCCGACGTGATGTTTACTTAAGACTGAAAGGTCGCGTATATCTAATCATGCCTGGAAGGTCGAAGGGTAGAGGTCGAACGAAGTTAGTCTCCCGGTCCTCCAGGTTGGGGGTTCGTCTAGAATTAGCGTTACAGTCGATACAAAATGGTGAAGGAGTAATCAATCCAAGTAACTGGTCCTTCAGTTCGCTTTACCCGCTGCCTTGCGGTTAAGTTCTTGTCAAAACGAAAGGCTTTGGTTGAGAACCCTAATCGTTCTCCTGCTTAGTGGCTGAACACCCTAGCAGTACGCGTCCATTAAACCCCAATTTATAAGCACTGCGCGTTTGGCAGCGATCAGTGAAGTTCGCTTCTCTGTATTTCGCTGTACGATGATGACGATGATTCAATAGAGATGTCGTTGTCCCATAGAATTCAGATTAGTCGGCTAGGGCATTTACCACACATGCCCACCTATCGTGTACCGCACCGCACTTTATTCGCAGTTGCGGCTCCGGATTGGAAGAAACCGCGTGGAAGTCAACAGATGACGTGGAAACGAAGCATGAAGAAATGCACACAGCCATCAGGTAGAGTAGGTGTCACGCAACTTCCAGGTTGGGATCCGAAAGACTCTGCAATTGGCTGGTTGGAGACACTGAAGGATATGGCAACTAACCGACAGCAGTGGCATTTACGTTGTCATTTCTTATCAGGTCACAATGATTGA